TATGCCTTAGCTCATTGAATTCTCAGAACACTGAGATAGGGGCTCTCATTGCCCCATTTTATAGACATGAAAGCTGAGACTTAGAGAAATGCTTTAACAAGGTCTAGTAGCTGCTTCATGGCAGAGGCCAGAGCCTGTCTTTTTTATGTGAGAATCAGCCCATAATTCATGCTCCTACAAAATAAGTGCCCCGTACCATCATCCTTTAGAAGTTGTTTTGCTCAGATTATCCTTCTTTACAGGGATTGTGTTGGATGAAAATAGGCTTTTATTTTGTTAGTGAGTTGGTCTTAACTCAGAACTTGATTGATATTCTTCCAGTTTGACTCTAGATATTATCTATTTACTTCCAAAATCCAAGCCATCACTAATGGAGCTGATCTAACAAGGGATACTTTGAGAATAAGAGAGATCTCTGAAGACTGTTTATTCCCAAATCGGAGATTCTAGACTTTGGGAAATACTGTGCAACCTTCCCCTCTCCTTCTTCTTTCCTCCTCCTAGTGACTAATTTAGAGATATCTGAGTCGTGGAATGAAAGCAGATGTATTTATAGTCATCTTTCACACAAAAAGGGAGTTCAAAGGGAATTCACATTGGCTGATTATTCACTATGTATCAGCCTATTTTTCCATATCTTCTCACTTCATTTCAGATAATAACCTGAAACATAGTTTAGAAAATGAGGCTAATCGACAAAAGTAGAGATTTAAGCTCAGGTCCATGTAATAAAAAGTGTGTTTCCTTCCCACTCTAGCCATTGTCGCTGTTCCATGAGGGCATCGGGGCCTGTGATGAATGCTGTCGCTAGCTACCACTGCAGATCAGAGCACCAAGAGCTCCTTGTGGCTTCTTGGACCCAGATAGCACCCCTGACTCCCCACCCTTACCCCCCACCTCTGGCTTCTGGTCAGTCATCTTGCAAATGCACCCCCTTGGTTATAAGACAGATGGACAAGAGTGAGGTCTGCAACTGGAAATGTAACTGAAAGCCAGTTCCCTGATGGCAGGTGGGTCGGTAGCGCCATCGCTGTTCAGAAGAATAAGCCACCACTGTTCCTGCTGCCTTTTTTTCAAGGAGACAAAGTGCATTCTGCCATAATCACAGTGTTACCTCAGTCAGCAGTGCTCAGAGTGAGAGGCAGGCATGAGGAGGACAAGGGGGCTCAACAGTCTTATTATAATGATGACAACAAAGATGATGGTTGCTTTATATAAAGCCAGGTACACACAAGTATAAGTATGTGTGTACGCACGTTTTCCTGGCTTTGGAGAGGATGTGTATATTTTGGGGCAGCTCCACACAAAGAAATCCAGCGTTTAAGTTTTGACTAAGTCAGTCTCTATTTGCTTTCAGATATCCAGGAATGGTTTTCAGAGTATTTGAGAAAATGAGAGGTGCAGATGGTTTTCACTGAGGCATAGTTTCAAATTTAAAGAGGATTATGGCCCATGAACTCCAGAAATGGTGGGTAGAGGTGTGAACCTTTGAAACTGTAATTGCAGACCAGTCTGAGGAGGTATATACTTACCAGAGCACAATATCTTATTGTGACATTATTCCTTTCTTGGCCGAGGGAGACGGGGAGAGGAGCAGATACATAACATAATCTTCAGATGAAACTGAAACAGCAATTGATGGCAGCAGTTTGGAGTCTCTGGTGAATTCAGACAAGAAAGAAATCCCCAGCTGTCTACCATTGCAGTTAGCTTAGCTTATTGTAATAATCTTTCTTTTTTGCATCCGCAGAGCTGAGTGTATACACAAATCAGCTCCTGCTGAGAGGAATCTGTGGTCATTTTGACACACCCACCCCTTTATTTTACAAAGAATAGCACTAAGGCCCAAGATGACAGCATCAATTACTAGGAGAGAAAACTCTGGAACCCAGGGCCTCTTGGAATTGAGGCAATTAAACACTGACTTTTGGCTTTCAATAACAGCTCATGTTTATTGATTCTTTACTATAGTGCCAGATAAAGAAGACGAAAGGAACTGCCAGCCCAGTGGAGGTGACAGGTACAAGAAGATTACTTGGAGTAAATGGAATAAATGCAAGAATTCAAGTCTGAATTTGTTTCCTGCCTGGAGGAAGGAAGGGCTTCTTGGAGTGAAGTCTAAGTACTGTGGGTTTTCAGTGCTCCGTGGGGTAGCTGAGTCTCAGAGAGCTTAATTAGCTCAATTAGTATGGGCCATATTTGTTCCAAGTCACAGAATTTTCCAGATTTTCCAGATGCAGGGTGACTTGGTTAGTATGTGGGGAAAAGATGGTAGGATTTTCTCCTGGGTAGCTCATACTTCAAAAGAGCATGTTCTGTCAACTACGACACATGAGCAAGTGACATCCAGGTAGGGATCTTCAGCTGCCTGCTATAATCATCTGGCTGTCTCCCTAGAAAACTTCAAACCTGGTGTGTCCCAAACCAAGCCATTTTTTTTTTTTTTTTTTTTTTTTTGAAATGGAGTCTTGCTTCTTTGCCCAGGCTGGAGTGCAATGGAGCCATCTCGGCTCACTGCAACCTCTGCCTCCCAGGTTCAAGTAATTCTCCTGCCTCAGCCTCCCAAGTAGCTGGGATTACAGGCACATGCCAGCACCCTGGCTAATTTTTGTATTTTTACTAGAGATGGGGTTTTTGGCCAGGCTGGTCTTGATCTCCTGACCTCAAGTGATCTGCCCGCCTCGGCCTCCTAAAGTGCTGGGATTACAGGTGTGAGCCACTGTGCCTGGCTCCAAACCAAGCTTTTAAAGTGCTAATGAGGACAGAGTGGGTGCCCGTTTATTTATTTACTAATTTTTTAAAGAATGTCTTTTGAAGTTGATTTCTCAATTCCCTTTGCCAGGGAAGAATATTTATTTATGTACATTCCTCTTACAAAATTCTCCCTTTAGTCAGCTGAACACTTGCTTACCTGAAGCATGGCCTCTTAAAGGACATCGATGACCATATCTCTAGAGGCACAGTGCAGGTTCAGTACAGCCAATAGAGGGAGGTGAACATCTCACACTTTTCTAATGGCTTCCCTGTGCACAAAGCACTTTCTCATCCATCACCAATGAACTCAACAGAACAGCCAGGTCCTGGGGTTGGTGTCCTTATCTTTTGCTTTCGTGTGAGGCAACTGAGGGCCCAAGATGCCATAGACAACAGGATATCTGGGTGACTTACTCCTGTCATTCTTTTCTCAAGATGTCACCTTGTCAGCAAAGTCATCTCTGCAGATTCTTTATACTATACCGATTCCTTCACTTTCTTATATTTACTCCACTTTATATATTTGTGAGTTGTCTATTTCCATCCTAGATGGTAAGCTTCTTGAGAGCAGGGGCCGTGGCATTACTCAATCTCCAGGACATAAAATTGGTGCTTAGTAAATATTTGAGAGTTAATGAAGTGATGTATTTTGACAGCCACTCGGCTACTTCTCTGTACCAGGCCAAAGGCTTAGACAAGATCCCTGCTTTGGGGCACTCCCTTGTAGTCAGGGGTAAGAACCAGAGAACGAACGGATTTGAGGCTTAACAGTGCAAGATGGCAGGAGCCCAATTCCGGGGGTGAGGGGTAGGGCGTGGTGGGTGTGTGTTGGGGAGAAGAGGCTCAGCGTTCCACGCTAAGGCTATCAAAGGCTCTCCTGACTTTAACTACAGGTACCAATCCTGTGGCCCCAAAGGCCTAGCTTTTTTTTTTTTCTTCTTTTTCTTTTAAATCAATTTCATTCGCAGTGAATGGCGAGAAATTAAATGGATTCTTCGGACTAAGTAGATTCAGCTAGTTTTAAAATTAGCCAATTGCCAAGACAGAAGAGTGAGGTATCTGTTGGTACTTTTTCCACCGAAATTTGGCATCCGCATAGCGTCGAATACCATTTGCAGCTCGGAAATACCTGTTACATTCCCTGACCCTCGGTGTTCCTGCGGGTTAAATAAAAAAGTGCAAATGAAAGATTAGAAAATTATTATTTTTTTTAACCCCCAAACCCTTCATTCGCCTTCACGCTGCATTGTAGCGACCTAAAGCAACTGCACAAAACCAGCCTTTCAGAGGCGAGACGTACCCTGCAGAGGGAAGGGGCTGGCGGGCGGCCTAGGAGGGCGGGAGCTGGGTGAGCCGGCAGCTGCGAGCCCCGGACCCGGGAGGCCGCCCCTGCGCCCGCGCCTCCTTTGCGGGGTCCGCGGCCCTTGCAGTAGGAGGCGGCTCTCCCGGGGCCTCGCTTCCTGCACCCACACGCGACTATAAAAGAACACGTTCAACTTTTTTGGGCCCCCTTCTTGCAAAACGCTCGCGTAACGAGCTCGCTGCAGTACCCGCTCCGGGGGCGGCACAGGCACGCGGGCTTCCGGAGCCGCACAGCCGGGGTCGGGAGCAGCAGCGTCCGAGCCAGGCCCCGGGGGCATTGCGCGGGCGGGGGCGGGACTGGGGCCGGCCCGGGGGCGGGGCGCAGGCGGGGGGCGGGGCGGCGGGCGCGCGCGTGCGCAGAACACTTCCTTGTTTGTCCCCGTGACTGCAGCGCGGTCGCCGCCCGCCCGCCCGCCCGCCGCGGGAGTCTGAGCTGCTTCAGTCGGGCCCGCGCCGCCGCCTGTCAGCGCATGTGAGGAGGCAGCGCCGGCCGCCGGAGCCGCCCAGCCCGCGCACGCCTCAGCGGGCGGCCGGAGCCCAGACCCTCGCCGCGACCCCACGCGCAGCCGCGTCCCCTCCCCCGCCGCTGAAGAGCCGCTGCCGCCGGCATGAGCAGAGGGAGGCGGGTCCCAGAGAACCCCCTGCCTTGCGCGCGGCTCGGAGTTTGAAGGGCCCCGCGCCGAGCGCCGCTGCCGCCGCCGCCTGCCTTCGCCCGCCTCCATCCCTCCCTCCCGCCGCCGCCGGGGACGGGAGCCGCGCGCCAGGCCGGGCGGCGGGTGGCGGGCTGCGCACCGGGGTTCATGAGCCGCCGGGCGGCCAGCGGCCCCCGGAGCCTGCGCCGTGACTCACCCCCCGCCCCCGCTTGTGTCTCGTCCCCCCGGCAGGATGCCGGACCAGATCTCTGTCTCGGAGTTCATCGCCGAGACCACCGAAGACTACAACTCGCCCACCACGTCCAGCTTCACCACGCGGCTGCACAACTGCAGGAACACCGTCACCCTGCTGGAGGAGGTAGGTCGGGCCGGGATCCCGCGGTCCGCGCTCACTGCCGCCGCTGCGCTGCGGGAGGGTCTCCTTTCGCACGCAGCTGCGAGTTAGGGGACGTGGGGGCCGGGGGCGCCACACCCCCTGCAGGAGTCGCTGGGTGAATAAGGGACGTCGGACCGACGGCCCCGTCCCCATCCCCCCGTCCTTTCCGGGGTCCTACGGGGTGTAAGGCCTGGGGGTTGGAGGTGGGAGAGGACTGAGCGAGCTGTGGGCACTCCGGGGGGGCGCAGAAGAGGGAAGTCCTCTCCCTGGCAGGCACTGTTCAGCGCTTCCACATCTTCGTGACCCTCCTATAACCCTTGAGGTAGGTGGCGTCGGGCCACCGAGGGCACAGAGGCGAAGCAGCGCAGCCAAGGTCACCAGTAAGGGAGATGGGCAGTCAACGCACCTCTCAGCGGCCCGGCTGGGCCAGGCAGGCGTAGCTGCGAAGGCAAGGGCCGGTGGAAAAATCCCAAAGGAGACAGAGAGAACTCAGGCTGGGACTGTCTCCACTCCAGCACTCCTCCCTGCTAGTCTCTGGTGCTTGAAGCCCAGATGGAAAGAGATCTGTGCACATAGGTTCCCACCCGCTCCCCTAACCCAGAGGGTTTGGTAGGGCGCAGGGTTGCTGCGCCAGCAGGACCTTCCTGCGGGGACATCTGAGGCCGATGTAGCCAGCTTGAACTGACCAGAGAGGACGCAGGAGGCCTAAGGCTATAGTCAGCTGCACTTATCTGGACCCTTCAGGAAAGCGTTGCGGGTGGGTGGGGGTGTGGGGGCAGGGCCAAGGCCAAATGGATTTTCTTTAGAATTTTCAGTGAATTAATGATAGAGTGCCATGGGCAAGGAGGAACCTGCAAGCCAAGGAGCTGCAGAAGCCTCTGGGGCCAGGATAAAAATAGGATATTTGCCCTGGAACTCAGCATCATCAAGTGTCATAAAGCATCCCTCCCCTTCAAACAAGGCAAACGTATTTCAACTGAAAAAGGCAACACTGGGTGGAAGGTAGGAAGGGAGATGGTTTTCCCTGGGTGGGTTATGCTGTGGCTGGTTTGTCTGAGGTCTGGGCAGCTCCTTCTAATGTAAGCACCCCCCTCCCAAGGACGGCCCTCTGTAATATGGGGAAGCTTGGGCTTCTGTGGGCTGACTGCTCTTGAAATGAGCTTGATACTCATGTTTCCACACAGGTAGAACTGGGATTTAGAAGTAGAGGGGTCCTAAATTTTAAGAGGGGAGAGACTTCTGTTAGTGCTGGGTCCTATCTTGCCTGCTTGTTGCTGTGACTGAATGTGTCATTCGGCATGCTTCCAGAGTTCTCTCTGGAGTCAGTATTGGGTGATGGGAGTGAGTTGTGAAGCGGATGGAGAAATAGCACCTAACTAGATTTGTTTGAAAACCAGAGGTAAATGGATTTTTTTCTTTTCGGCTTTGTGAACTGCCAGTCTGTTACACTTGTCTGGCATTAAACAGTTGCTAGGCATTGAACCCCATCATAGGTCTGTCCTTCACTTAATTTTAATAAATTGAAACATGCTGATATAGGAGCATTTTGCATCCCCTTTCTGTACTAATTGTATATACTTCTAAGGATGTGGCATTGATTAGACTGAGCGGTTATTTTCCTTCTAGATGAGTTCTTTGGTGCCTGCTAATAGAGCTGTCAGTTACTTTAACGTTCTCTTCCTGCACACTCAGATAGTGTTGCTGTGTTCTGTTTGTGAAGGGTGTGATAAAGTTAAGTATTTGGTGATGCTGTTTGTAGGGGTGTGCGAACATATTTTGCAGCAATCCTGGAGTAGAGGGTTAATGTTAAATTACAAGCAGTTGCTGTTGTTATTAGTTTAAGGTTACTCAATTTAAAAGCAATTAAAGCAGTTTTTTTTTTTTTTAATGAGAAATACTTTTGTAAGATTAGGTAGAAAAATAGATTTAACTGTAATGCAAGTGTGGTCACCTACGAACTTGGAACCAGGCTAGAAGTTTGAAATACCATGTTACAGTGCATTGATGATACCCATGTTCTCAAAAATATAACTGTAAATGTTTCATTCAGTATGGCACAATAATTTTATAATTCCTCTGAGCTTGAGTAAGGTATTGGTCAGGAAAACATTGTCTCCAGTCTGCATATTTTAATTCTTGAGGTTGGTCTCTGTTTTACATAGATGTAACAGGTACACTTTAGGTTATTTTACTGATGGATAGCTACCATTGTTGAATTTTAATTTTTCCCTCTCTGCTTATATATATGCAGGTAGTGCCTTATTACAATATCTTAGGTGATCACAATTCAGTTTTTTAAAAATGGGCTTAAGATTACCACACTCAAAATAAAAGAAAAATTTTGGGGGCATACCACAAAATTTTGTTGGCATATGCTTCACAAGTGAGATATTTGGAAACTTTAAGAATGTGGCTTTTGTTATTTTGTGGTTACTCTTAGGAAGAGAACTTTTGGGTACTTTTTGGTGATGGAATAGGAATTAATTTGGGTAACTTGGAATTCTCTCTTTAAAAAAATATTTTCCTAGTACTAGTAAGTACCTTCCTGTTTGTTTATGACCTTTTTCGCTCTTTGGATCACTAATTAACATACATGGAGCTCAACTGAAAAACTGTTAGATCTCCAGGATTGGAGCCTCAAATTAACCCACACTCTCCCCTTAACTATGTCACCTTGGTAAAGAATGTGGTGTGTTATGCAGATGTTGGTGCTTTTAGTTATATATCTGTGATGAGCACTCTGGGCGGTAGATCAGAAATATGTGATAGGAAAGGCTGGATACAATGGCTCATACCTATAATCCCAGCACTTTGGGAGGCTGAGGCAGGTGGATCACTTGAGGTCAGGAGTTCGAGACCAGCCTGGCCAACATAGGGAAATCCCATCTCTACAAAAAAAATTAGCCAGGCATGATGGCGTATGCATGTAGTCCCAGCTGCTTGGGAGGCTGAGGCAGGAGAATCATATAAACCCGAGAGGCCGAGATTACAATGAGCCAGGATCACACCACTGCACACCAGCTTGGGTGACAAAGAGAGAACATATCTCAAAATAAATAAATAAATAAATAAACATGGTAAGAAGAGGCAAAAAGGAGTTTACCAGTTGGCTTCACCTTTTGGGGCAAAGTGTTACACATGGCTATGGGGGTCACGGTTTGGCTGGCACACAGTGAGTGGCTGCCTTGGGGAGGCAGGAATGGATCAGCTGATATTCTGCTAAGGTTTTGTCTTGGTATGTGCATGTTTTCTAAGCAAAATCCCAGTGTTTTATTTATTCAGCAATGAAAGCACACTGACATGTGCCATTTTACTCATGACCATTTGTAAGTTACAAGTAATTGACTGGGAGAGTATAAGCATTTTCCCTAAACAGGAGCAGGCAGGCATTTTAGGACCACTGTGACCCAGACATTAGAAGGGACAGGCATAGAGTGGCTAATACTTAGTACCTTTGAAGGAGAGAGTGTCTAACATGATAAATGAAGGTCTACTTGGGTACTTTATATTGGGCCATATTTTAATTTAGTGGCAATGAAGGAGGCAAGTTCTGCCCATTTATTGAGCAGCTGCTCAATACCAGGCCTGCTGTAGACACATGGAATGAATGCTTACATTTAATCTCTCATTTGAGCTCTCTGAAAGAGGGACAATTATCATCTTCATTTTATAGGAAAGAAAATTGAGGCTGAGAGAGATGAAATGATTTGTGTCTAAGGTCAAGTGGTTAGTAAATAAATTGGAGTTTAAAAGTCTCACCCTGTTCTCCCCCTAAAACAGGATCTCACACTGTAACCCAGGCTGGAGTGCAGTGGTGCGATCTCGGCTTACTGCAGCCTCCACCTCCCTAGTTTAAGCGATTCTCCCACCTCTGCCTCCCGGGTGACTCGGACTACAATTGCATGCCATCATGTCTGGCTAATTTTTGTATTTCTAATAGAGATGGGTTTTCACAATATTGGCCAGGCTGATCTCAAACTCCTGACTTCAAGTGATCCGGCTGCCTCAGCCTCCCAAAGTACTGAGATTACAGGCATGAGCCACCACTCCGGACCCAGAGTTTAGAAATCTTAAAACATTTAAGACATAAAATAGGTATTCTAAGTGTCTACAAAACATATTTCAGTGGCTTTGTAGGGAACATAGGAGACTTTGCTGTCATTGCACTTTCAAGTTTTGGTTTCATTAAACAGGTGCCTAAGTTCCTTGGAGGCTTAGTGTTTCTTCATGTTTGTATTTCAGAGAGTTCTTAATAGTGATATTTAAATATACTGTTTTTTTCCCTGTACTTTCATATATTTGGATATGAGTTTTCAGATTTAAATATGGGAACTCATTTGGGTATAATCCATGAACAGCATTTGTTCAACACATTTTTGGGGAGCCCCTGCTATATACAAGCCATTTTCCAAGTCCTCCTGAGGTATTGGAGTTATCTGGATTGTATGATGGCGAAGCTAGTGGTCTTTAAGAAATAAATAAATAAGGCTAAAACTCCTAACAGGGTAGAAAGGGGCAGTTCATAGGGGAGGGAAATAGTATAGAACGTTCATCCTAGGAATACAAGTGAAATCACTCAAATTACCATGTAGTCAATGTACAGATTGTTCAGTGCCTTTTATGTGCCCAGCAGTGTGCTAGGCCCAGGGATACAATGATGATGAACCCTGTCCTCAAAAAATGCAGTCTAAAAGTTTTCTTAAGGGAGCTGTCAGTCAAATGTGGGTCTGGCATTGGAGGCTTTTTTTTTTTTAACTTATTCACATGGTGTGTTCAGTTCTTTCTGAAGACATAGAAATGTTTGATGAAATGAATGAATATGTGGAATGTAGATTCAGTATCAAGATCTATCTCATAACAGTAACATTCCTACTATGTGCAAACCCTGTACATACTATTATTTAATACTTTTCTTCATTCTACTATTATCGGTGGTCTCATTTTATAGATGAAGAAACAGGATTACAGCAGTTAAATATTTT